AAAATTGAATTTCTTAAGAATTGAATTTTAAATTCAATTAAATTAGTTAAATGCCAAGTGTACTATCTATTAAATACTAGAATAATGAAGAGAAATCAACATATTTTCAGCACATATCCAAGCTAGGGTTGAAACTACCATGGTGTTGAGGTAAGAATTTTATTTTTGATTTTTAAGGCTACATGATTGATTTTTTGGACTAAGTTGTGAAATAAAGAATTAATATACATGAAATTCTCTATCATTTGGTACCAACATTTCATGGTGAAGATGATTATGTGTTGATATTGAAAGTTGGGGTTTATGTAGGGTTTAAGGATTTTGAAAGATTGATGAAAGATTTTTTATGTTTTGATGTTAGTGATTAATCCTAAGACATGTATGATGATTAAAATTAATTGTACATGCTTATACGATATTTGGCCATGCTAGGATTTTAAATAGTGATTGGATTTTGATGTAATTTGATGTTATTATGATTATAATAGCATGAATTTGATGTTAGGAAGTTGAATTCGTGCTTGAAATTGAATGAAAATCATGCCTAAAGCTACTTGAAATATTCCTATGGTCTGAAATGATATTAGAAGTATTCTATGAGACTTGGAGATCAATTTGGATCAAGTTGGAAGCTTGAAAAAGAAAAATAGTTAATATAAAGTTTTGAGAATTGTGGGACATTATTGCAAGAATGTGATATTTGGAGGGTTCAATGCTGATTTCTAATATTTGAAAGGCTGGAAGTTTAAGTTATAAAGTTGGTTGGAACTAGATTACAAGTTTGGTAAAGTTTAATGTCATAATTCAAAAAGTTCCAAAATTTTAAGGACTTGTTTGTGACTTTGGAAACATGTTGGTATTATCTTGAAATGAGAAATATAAATGCTGGAAATTTTAGTTATATGATGATTTTTAAATTTAAATATTGAGTTTTGATCTAATTTCAAGTTTATCAAATTGAGTGGTTGAATTTGAAAAGCTAAGAAAGTTTGGGATGAAATTGCAATGTTTTGAATGTTAAAGAATTAGTTGAGAATTTTATTAAGGTGCTAGAAATTTTAGAAATTAAAATTCAATGATCATAATGGTGAAGAATCATTATGAATTTAATGGAAAAGTTCAGATGAATTCTAGAAAGAATTCATAAATAGTGGCTTGATTGTGTAAATGGCAAAAGTTGAAGGATTGATAATGGAAAAAATATTTATAGACTTTATGGAATATTTTGAGAAGTTTGAAATTTCAAGGGAAGTATGACTTAGTTTTATATCGATTTAAGTATCGATTTTATTTCTATCGAATTTTATATTTGAGCTTAGATTATGTTAGTTCGATACTAACATATAGTTTGAATATTTTATGTTATTATATGACGTTTTTCAGACCTCAATAAATCTAGTGAACCAAGTAACTCGAAAAGGAAATAAAAAGTACGGGATTGAAAAGATTATTGTGAAGAATGTTCGATAGTAAGGCAAATGTGAGTGCATTTAATTTGTATTTATGTTATCGCATAAATATTGGCTTGCGATGAGCCAGTGACGGAGTTTCTACGGTAAGAAGTAATTCCTAATGTTATGTGAATTGTGGTTCAATCCTATATGTTCATTTGGTAAGCTTATAGAATTATGGAATGAGTTAAGGATGCTAATTAAAGAAAGTTGTTTATAAATTTGATTGGAACTGTGAGTTTAGAAATTTACTATAAATTATGCAGAATTGATTAGATAATGATCTTATATTGTTGGATTCATATGTTAGTTTAGTTTCTTTGACAATAGACAACTACTGATTTTGAGGTGTATACGGAAATATATAAAATTTTAGTCGATAATAGGTCAGAAAACAAGGCAGCAAATTCTACTAAAAATAGTTTATGTCAGTCAACTTTGAAAATTTGTTATAAATTGTACAAGTTGAACTAGAAGAAGTACCTTATATGGCTAGATTTGTATTCAAGTCTAGTTTTCAGTGGTATTAACGGAAAATTTTTTAACTATATATAATTAATAAATAATAATATTTATTTGAATGTAGTGCAAATTGCCAGAGCATGAAATTTTGATAAAATTGGATAGTTGAAGCATTTGAGAACAAAAGGTTAATTCTAAAGCATAGTGAGGCTTATGTTTTGATTTATTAATTAAGTGTGAAAGTGAATGCAATTTTTTTTATTTAGTTATTTTGATTGAGGATGACTTGTGATAAGCCAACTCATATTATTTAAAGTATGGTTTTCTATCTTAAGTATGAATGATTTTCAACATGTTTATACATGTTTTATGAATGTTTAGGGTACAAACTACCCAATTTATAATTTTTATAATTTTTATGAGAATGATTGAAAATTGATTTTGAGTTGAAATATTGATTATGAAACGAACAAGATATAATATGTTGTGAATAAGGTCTATAAAACTTATTGACCTTACACGAAAATATAGTCATTGGATAAATCTAATCAGTGATTGTGATTAAATTTTTATTGTAAAAATTGAAAATAATAATAATAATACATAAAGTTTTAAATTAAACCATCTATTTAAATTAATTTAATAAAATGAAATTTGACATAAAAATATGTGAATTCTACTTCGAATGGTATTATTACTTGGAAAAAAAAAGTTATTTGGAGTTAAACACAAAAATCTATCAAGTATTATATTCAACGTATAAAATAATTTTCATATCCAAATTTGATACATCATGCCCAAACATTAAAAAAAAATATTTGATTTTATAATAGGAGCGACAAAGTGTTATTCATAAAATTTTCAATTGATACCAAATTTAAATTTGATTTTTAGAATTTTCGTACCTCATTTTTATTTAATCATAAAAGGACTTCAAATTTGCAAGCGAGAAATATGTTGTTTATATTTATTGGTATAGTGGTAAGATATATCATATTTTTATAATGTGAATTTATGTTTAAATTTTAAATATATAACGGACATCCGTAAAAAATGTTGGATTTGTAGTTATTCTTTTATATGGTTGAGGCTTATAGTTGGGCCAAAGGTCTTTTTATGGCTTCATTTATTATGTTGTTATGTAAAGCCCTAGTAGCATCCAAACTCAGTGGCGCCGAATTGTGCTATAAAGTAGAATTACAGCACCACATTTCCAACATCACAAGTTCAGAGGCGGCAAATCGTCTGACAATCTCAACTATTTACTATGAAGTTATTTGATTTATTTTTCTTCTTCTTCCTTGTTTTTGTTGTTTAATTAGATCGATATGGCGGAGGATTTAAAAATCCTTATCTATGAAAAGGGGGCAAGCTGAAATTATGTTTGTAAATCTCCAAGATAACGCCATAGAAAAACGCTCGTTGACGTGGACGGTCCTCCCCTCCGGGGAGCTCCTCCGTTGGCCGGTAGTCTCATATTCCATCGCCTTGTGGAGCGGCGTCGCTGCTATTACCTCTTGGGACTGGCCATGAGACAAACATTCATCTCCTCCCCCCCCCCCAAAAAAAATAAGATTTCTCAAAATTTTTAATTTGTTTATAGGCACGTTAGTGTTTTCTTTATAAATATTTTTGTAGAAAGAGGCCGATGAGGAAAACATTTAAAAAACACCATCTTTCGGGACTGAATGGCTTTATGAAAGCCTTGCTGTTAATTCTGCAATTCTGAGGCCATTTCAAGGGAACTGAAAATGTTTTACCTCTTTCCCCAAGCCCCATCAGACTTCGGCTGTTTAGGCTTTAGGATATGTCAATTTAGGGTTGTGCATTATCTAATAATGTTTTGCTCGTAGTTGACTTCTTTAATTCATTGGTGCAGGTTTTTTTTATACATTATAATCTTTAAATAAGTGATCAGAAAACGAGACATCGATTACCCTTGGCAACTCTCCACTTGAGATTTGCTATTTTCACGGCGTGCAGCGGCAAGTGGGGTTTGAAACAATATGGATCGGATTGTGCTCTTTGAAGTGCCCAATAGTAAAGTATCTATTTGTATTTAATTTTTTCGAACAAATATAATCGTAGGATTCAATCTCTCTTGCCATGGTAGTCGATAATGGTTCAAGAAGAGAGGCAGTATCTTTAGTGTGTAGAGGACTGCAGAGAAGTCCTTGTATTGACACTGATGAACTTCATGATGATAAATGCCTGAGTAAATAAAATTGAAAAAGCTTCTCCGTCGACATCTACTTTAGAATGAACCTTTTGTTAGAAATGAACAATCCTGAGGAATATAGTAAGGTTCATTCTTGGCCTGAATTTTCTGCATCAAATTGAAGTCGAAATATAAAAGCAGTAAAGAGAGAGAGTCAAAGGTTCAGTTAGTTGAATTAATGCACCACATTAGCATTGTGTTCTTGTAATATCGGTTAATAACGATATGTTATAAATCAATAATATTAATTATCAATTTTTTACATTCAAACAACTTTAGTGATCATACAACTTACCCTTTTTATTAAATGGTGACATCTTAAAGTTGTTTGATTGGATATTTTTGATTATTTGTAATGACGAGACATCTTGCACAACTTTGGCGAAGGTAGCATTGAACTTAACATGATATATAATAATTTGATTACAATATAAAATATGGTACAAAAAATAAACCATATATAGACTAAAAGTCTAAATGTTTGCGACGGTGAAAGGTGGAGTATTGAAGTTATTTCTACGAAAAGATAAATAAAAATTAAAAATTATTTTTGAGGTGGAACTAGTGTTACTGTCTTGGTTACAGCAGCCAGGGGATCCAAGTGGTCGACAGTTTGTTTAAAGTTGGATTTACGTAGCCTTGAGATGATTTTTATTGTATCATGCTACTGTCTTCTTGTGTGGCTCTAATGTCAACTCCTTTTCGTAAGAACACCCTATTGGATTTATTGTAATTACTTAGTCGTCCTCTCCCAGCAAACTGAACATTTGATTAAAGCTCCAAATTCTCAATTTCCAAGTCCAAGGCAACATGGCAGCAAAACTCTTAATCAAGGTAGAATATAACTAAATGTCGTCAAGCTACATTAACCATACTTCCTCTTAATCTGATTACATTTTACATTCTAAATTTTGCCAATCAAACACAAATCCAATATTTCATAACTGACAGCAAATACATATATAGTCTAATAATGTGAACTATTTGTAAGAGCCACATTGAAGCTTCTGGGATTCCAACACACTTCTTGCAGTTTCAATCACTACTTGCCCACTTATGTAATGCTGCCGACATACCGGCATGTATACATCAGCTCCGCCGATCAACTCTGTTTGTGTCTCATCTGTCTTCCTTAAGGTAAAGAAAGCTCGTTTCCCGCAAAGTTCACATCGAGCCGTTAACTTCATCACAGAATTAGCCAGGGGAATTATATCAAGCACGGATCCAAAGCTCCTTCTGCTTGCAAACAAATTGGATAAGAGGGCATCATGTGCATTCATCTCAAAATCCAGTCTGATAAAAATAATACCTTAAATAGTCACCATCCAGCCCCGCAACTATAACAGTTTTTCCATCACGATCAGCAGCTTCACAGCAGAAGTCATAAAGGTCTTCAAAGAATTGAGCCTCATCGATGCCAATGACATCCAGCTGTTACATATTGAGTCATGAGTACATTTAACAATAAATGCACGGAATATTCATGAAACTCAAGAAATACACATCCATATGAATAAGAGTATCAGATCTTGAAGCTGGCATATGTCAAACCTGATCATAAGCATCAGTGCCAATTTTTTGTCTGAATGAGGATAAATTTGTCAATGGCCAACATGGTAGTTTCATGCCATCATGTGTCACAATTGAATCCAATCCGTATCTTGTGTCCTTGATTGATTTTATTACAGCCACAGTTCTGCATAATAAAACCAGAGATAGTTTACGCCAGTAAACAAAAATCAAACAAGAAAACCAAGTGACCATTATTGTAGCAATCAAGCAATTGAATTTTGGTATTGTGTAAGATGGGAAGTATTCCTGATTTCCACCAAATATCAAATCGAAAGCACAAACTACAAGCATCATGTCATCATCGTTACTTTGCCAAAGATTACATATCCTTCCTAACCACACTCCCATACCATAATATGTATATTTTATCAGCAGGTAACTTCCAGCACATAGAATACAACAGCAGTTTTAATGGGCTCTACCAACTAAAAGGGTCACCAAATTATGTATGTGTGAAGGATCAAAAGGAGTGAGAATGCAAAATTTGTTAATCTAATGGTAAAGCTACAAAGTGAGGAAGTGGTTATGGTCTTATGGATCTTAACCATTAGATTAACAATTGTTTATCCTCCTTTTCCATCCCTCATCTTTTGTAATAAAAGCAAAGGCTAAGAGTTTAAGATCGAGATATGAAGAACTTTTAGATACTTCATTCAACCAGCCCTGCTTCTCAGTACAAGAACACAAAAAATAGTACATAGGATTTTCAAGTGTCACTTCTATAAGATCATGGCATGAATTTTTTAAAACAAGAGCAGTTTTTAAACCCCTTAACACACATTATCAAAAGCTTGATCTTCAGATATTGATAGGGAACAATTCCAACAACGATCATTTATACATGGATTCTTCTTCCATTAAAATAAAGAACCTTTAAACCCATATTTAGTTATATGTAGTTATTAAGGAGCTTGGGCCTGAAAGTTGGGAATATTTATAATCCAATCGTTCATCCAACAGCAGAGACCAAAACTTTAAACGTAAAAAGAACAAAAGTTCACGATCCCCAGATCAATTTTTTATCTAAATCATGACAGTTAACATTTAAAACCCAGATTTTTAACTCAATTCTACAACACAAAATAGAAATACGAAAACAAATAAAAAAAAGGTTTAACTTTAAACCTTCCATTGCTGCTTTCAGCTTGGATTCGGCGGAGCAATGCTGTTGTCTTGCCAGCAAACATGGGTCCGACGATGACGTGGACCTCACCACACGGTGAAGAAGATTGAGTTGTTTCTGGATGTGATTGTTGACTTGGGGTTGAAGAAGTTGGTGAAAGCATCGAAGGGTTTATGTGGAGGAATCTAGGGTTTGAGAGATTGAGTTTTTTGGAGGGCAAGGAGAAGAAAGCAAAAGGTTTGGTTTTGGGAAAATGAAGAGATAGAGGAGAAAATGGAGGGGAAATTAGGGACTTCATGCCTGAAATGGTGGGTAGCATTGATTTTCTGAGTGATTACTAAAAATCGGGACGAAGATGGAGAGGCCGGATTCAAGGAGTCGGCATGTTGAAGGCTGCACTCTGCTCTGCTGATTTTAGGGTTTAAGATAAGGAGGATGAAGAGAGATTAGGGTTTAACCAACGCAACATAGCCTTGTGATGCGCGGCAATGAAGCATTGTGATGTGCGGCAATGGAGCCTTGTGAAATCCATTACCGCAATTTTGCTCCAATATCCGTTTCCGCTAAACTATGAATATTATATTTAATTTTTAAAATTTATTATGACTTTTTTTTTAATTGAAAAGAGGCGAGACACCTTAAGCAATTGCAAAATTTATTATGACTTTAATAAATGTTAAATACGTCCAATTCTTTTGGTCTAGTTTGAAGCTCATAGATATGATGGCAAATACATCCATTCTCATTTTCTTCTCATCTTAATTTACTTTTTAAATATAATTTTATTAAAAAATATATCAAAATGAATTATTCATATATAAATAGTTTTAATACCAAAATAAGTGTTCAAACTATTTTTTTGACTCGTCCATGTACTTAAAGTTACAAACATTACTATTTTAGGTGTCTGGGCCGTTAACATCGTTAATTTCCCACGTTAACTAACATATGTCATAATCTGGTGATTTTGAAATTTATTTTTTTTAAATATGATATTTATAAAAAAAAACACTAACTTTTCTTATATTATAAAACAACCTCAAAATCTCAAATCATAATATTAATTCACTGTCGTTGCCCTTTACGATGGCGACCATCGCCGCTGACGTAGTCCTTGCCATCCTCTTATTCATACGTCGTCGAAGTTGCTGTTGAAATCACGTGGGATCGTGATTTTCATCCAAGAGTTCGCGGGGTATAAAATATAGATTCATCGTCGATCAATCACGATTTCGTGGGGGTTTTGGTTACCGGGGAGCTTCATCGACGGTAAAGGGTGACGAACGACGTGGGTTTAAGGGTTGAAATGAATGTTTTCAAAGTTTTAGAGTTATTTCAAAATGTTTATGTTTTTCCTTTAAGAAAATATATAATTTTATTTTTTTTAAATTTGTAATAAAATTTTTAGAAGCACCAGATTGTGACATATGTCACTTAACAGAAAAATTAACATATTTGACGGCCTGAACACCTAAATAAATGACGTTTGTAATGTTAGATACTTTGATGAGTCAAAAAATAATTTATACATCTATTCAGAAAAAACGATATAATTTAGATATTTGTAAATAAATGACCTCTTACATGTTTAATATGTAAAAAAATTCTTCGATATTACGTACATGTCTATCATGTAATTTGTCCATCTCTTTTCGACCTCATTCTTCATGTTAAGAAATGTATAGTTTTTTATTGATTAATTTTGAAATTAGAGTTTCTTTTAATTTATTTTCTTTTAAAAAACACAACATTATTAAGGCATTGACCTTATGCGATAAGATACAATAAAGATTTATTATGTCACAAAATTATATCTTCCCTCAATTATGAGATCGAGATTTAATTCTTATTCGTAAGAACTAAAAGAAATTTATAAATAATAGTTTACCTCTTCAAATACGTCTTAAACACTTGCATTCACCATTCAATTCCAAGATGGATCAAAGAGGATGGGGAGACAATCGTCCCTGAAAATGTTAAATTGACATATATTTTAGATTTTTTTCTTTGTATTTTTAATCGATAATTTATTTTTATCTCTAAAATTTTATAAATTTATTTACTTTTAAAAATTTAAAAGTTGTCATTTAATATAAAATTATATATCCATTCCTAATTGAATTGAAGTTCAAACACAAAAATAGAAATTGTAAATTTATTCAAAGTATAGACTTTAAACAAGTGGTTCTTAAACAAGAAATGGAGGGGCATTAGTTTAGCCATCAAATAGATGGGTAGTTGAAGAGACCATTGGGCGTTGAGTTGTTAAACACTTGTACAATCCTCTTAGGTCGAGTGTAAGACGTTCTTGACAAGGTTTAATTAAAATTTTATCAGATTTTTTTTTGGAGTGTGTTCCCAATTCAAGGCTTCCATTAATCCGAACCTAATCACGTCTCATACTTAGTTTTGGTGTTTGAGTCTCCTACATGAATTTTTTTTTATATATAAATACTCAAACTCGATATATTACTTAAGCGATATCAAACTGTTTATTACTTAAATTTTATCAATTTTCATAATATCTTGATATAATTTTGGGGGCAAATCAAAAGAGATGTATGACTTTTAACTTGGATTCGCATTAGTCATAATCTCACCCACTCCATAAAAGATTGGCGGCATTATCATCGTCTAATTTCTTTTGTTTAATAAAGTACGCAAGCTTCACCTCATTGGTTTTCAATTTATTTTGAGTATGGGACTTGAAATATGTCTTAGTATGTTCAAATATATAAGAGGTCGTCTAATTATGTTCTAATGATTGTTTTTGTTATTAAACATTCTAAAGTTACAAAATGATCCTTTTTTATCAAAAGACTACAAAATAGTCATTAAACTTATCAAATATTTATATTTGTTATAACATCGCAATGATAAAATTATAACAACTTAATAAATTTAATAATCATTTTATAATTTTTTAAAAATAATAATCAAAATGATCATTTAAGTATAATTAAGTAACCTCTAACATAATTTATCCTTAATTATATAGTAATTACATGATAATAACATTACCCAATATCTCTTGTTTTTCTTTGGACAAAGTTCTCACACACTCCACTTATATGTATAGGAAGTTTTGACAATGATAACCACATATGAAGGACCTTAAGCAAATACACTCACATGCAAAAACAAATACTCTCAAATATAAAAAACAAGATAGCTACCATAATAATATAATAAAGCAAAATCTTGTTGGGAAATTTTCCCCACATATGTGTTAGGTTATGATCAGAATATTCATCCTGTATAAAATATATTATACTTTGAAATTGATTTCGTACCATCCCTTCCCTTTTCTATTGAAAATATCTCCTCGTTGAATCTCAATTCAATTGTGCACTATGTGAATCGAATTATTAATAAACTCTACACTTTACGAGGTTTATAGTATTAAATTCACAATACGCGTGAAGCTGTGTAATTAAGTTGAGAAAGTTAGAAACGTGTACGGTTTAGATGCCTATAATAACTGTTAAAGCATTTAACAACATGACAGATAAAAGAGAATTTGCCAATACACGCTTGGGAAAGCATCTAGTGTTGTGGTTTAACTAAATTATAAGTCGGCTTAACAAAAAGTGGATGCATGTTAAACAGATGTGTTGACGGGGAGTGGGTGTCCCACGCAGGCATCGATGAGCAGATGGACTGGCATGTGCATGTGGTGCCACGATGAGGTGCAGGTGAGGGTTTGTTAGGGTCGTTTTGACCTCTCCAACCCTATACTACCTAACCCACCACCGCTCCCAGTAAATCTCTTTTTGGAAATGGTTCAACTGAGCCTGCCTTCAACTATTTAATTAAACCCTAGCCTATCTTGTTTGACAACACGGTTCTGGGTTTGTTTTATGTTTCAACCATTAAAAAGCACGAGAGCAATTACCAAGTTAGGGACGTAATCTACTGTAATAAACAATCATGGTCTTTTGCTGTTGAAGTTTGGTAAGAGATGGTCTGGAAATAGTGGGTTCAACAAAAATATATATATATATATATATATATTTTCACGTTCATATTCATCAACCGACAGACCAGAAATCTAACATCTCCTCCCTTCTATATATATATAACCCTTTCTCTCTTCTTTTGATTTCCATCAAACGGTGTATTACAGTTGAAGCAGCCGGGTCTCAAACACCATGAGAGGAACATCAACGTTATTACCTCTTTGTCTCTTGATGTCATTGCTTTTATCATCCTACGCTCAAACATGTTCCCGATATACCTTCTCCAGCAACCGTGTCTTCAGATCATGTTCCGACCTTCCTGTCTTAAACTCCTTCCTCCATTACAACCACGACTCATCTGGTAAGCTCGAGATTGCTTACAGGCACACGGCGATCGGGTCTTCGAGATGGGTCGCATGGGCCATAAACCCCACCTCGAAAGGCATGGTCGGCTCACAAGCACTCGTCGCTTATCGAAGAACCGATGGAACCATGAGGGTTTACACATCGCCCATCACCCAATACCAGACACAGCTGCGAGAGGGTAAGCTCAGTTTTGAGGTGTCGGATTTGTCTGCGACGTACGAGAACAATGAGATTACCATATTTGCTACTTTGGGTCTTTCGAACAATGGAACCACATTGAACCAAGTTTGGCAAGAAGGTGGTCTGTCAGGGAACACCCCACAGATGCATGTTACTTCTGGTCCTAATGTTCAGTCCATGGCTACCTTGAATCTGCTTTCTGGTGAGACTGCAACAACTAATGGAGGCGGCTCTAAGCTTAGAAAGAGAAACGTAAGTGAATGGCTCCAATCTTTACTTTTTCTTCATTGGGATAATTGCATCAATAGTCTCTAATAAATTGTTGAAAGGACTACAAGTGTAATTATCTCATTAGTCAAGCCTAAATTCTTCTTTTCTCGGGAACAACTTATCTGATATGTTGATAAAAACAAATTGTGTCACAAATTTTCAACTTCACCAAATGTTTTAATATGTTCTCTGGCCACATTTGAGCTGGTATTAACGTCTAAGTTAATGGTTAAACTGATTGAAAGATTTGACTGATACGATTTTGATGCTTTGAAGGCTTAATCAGAACACTCTGAAGCTTAGGACATAATTAGCATCTCTATCATAATTTGAGGATGTCCAAAGAAATTAACCTTTTCTTCAGTTTGAATAGGTGTTTCCTAGTTATCGCAAAGCTGCTCTGTTTCTGACTTTGTTTTCGAAACCATTTAATAAAATTTCAGATACATGGGATCCTAAACGCAGTGAGTTGGGGCATTTTAATGCCAATCGGTACTATAACAGCAAGGTACTTGAAGGTGTTCAAATCAGCCGATCCAGCCTGGTTTTATCTCCACGCTGCTTGTCAATTCTCGTCCTACGTTGTCGGCGTCGCCGGATGGAGTACCGGTCTCAAACTCGGCAGCGAATCTCCCGGTATTCGATTTGACACCCATCGAACCATTGGAATCGTCCTTTTCAGCCTCGGAACACTTCAGGTATTCGCACTGCTTCTAAGGCCAAAACCAGACCACAAATACAGGTTGTACTGGAATATATACCACCATCTGGTGGGATACGCTGTGATAATCCTCAGCGTGATCAACGTATTCAAGGGATTCGACATCTTGAAACCCGACGATAAATGGAAGAATGCTTACATCGGTGTCATTGTGGCTTTGGCTTTCTGTGCTGTCGTGTTGGAAGCGTACACATGGTTCGTTGTTGTAAAGAGGAAGAGGTCGGAAAGTGCAGGTAAATTGCAGCATGGTTGTGGAAATGGTAATGGCTATGGTGCTAGGTCACAGCAGGCTTAGAAACTTTGTTCCATTTCTTTTTTCTTTTTTTTCGATATAAATTTTAAAGTTCAGTCTGTTTATATTAATGTTGGATCCTCAGGTATGTTGATGTATGAGATTTTCAGAGGGAACGTAGAAATAGAAGTTATTCTATTATTATACACTTTTTTGTGATTTGCTGTTCATAAATATTAGGTTTTCTGAGATAAAACAAGGCAACACTCCGCGGTAAAACAGATAAAATAATGCATATACTGAAATACATTACTGATAATTCTGAGAAGTAAAAAACTTGTATTATCCTTTACAACTTCACTTCAGTTTTGAGGTTAGCATCGGAAAGACGACGGTCTACGACCCAAAAAAAAAAGTACCCCTAGAGTTCCAGGCTAATGGCAGAACTACAAGATATTCTTGCCACGATGCCCATGGTACATCTCTCATTCTGACCAATGAACAAGCAAACTAATTGGAAACTATTGTCGAATGCACGACGAACAACAAACGAACAAGTAGAAAAGAGAAAGGTCGTCACTCTCTGTAATGAACTTATTCAAGCAGTTATACGAAGCAGTCAACTCTAGCAGATCTAATTCAGACATCTCAGGATTGCTTAAATAAATGATGACATAGTAGTGAGTCACGTATCCCCATCACAGATATGCTTTCGCATCCGATAAGCTCGCGAAGATTGGCATCACACAATACCACCATTGAATTTGATGGATCCTAAAAGAAGAGCAGAAACCTCTTAGGAGATTAATGCGGATGCTAGAGAAATAGCAAAGTATTTAAGCTAGTAGAGTGAGTCAGTGAGAGTGGAGTTTAATGGGAAGAGTTGCATAAACTTGTGTACCAGCTCCTACCTCCAAATGATTAACCTTAGTGTACTCCCAAACGCGCCTTTCTGCCTCAGCAGCTAACCTCTCCCTTCCTCCTGCACCCAAAAACTTGGTAAGCGCCTCGGATATAATTACAGGATTGGGCCCTGGTTCAACACCTTCAGTGGTGGACTCGACATTTACCTTCCCTTTTTTGGTTTGACTTGATTCCTCTGCAAGGATTAGCAAAATTAATAAATTCAAGTCATCATAGACCAAAAATATATTTGCACCTATCAACACAAACTTGATGGGTCAAGAGGGCTAATATGTTTTGCCAGCAGTTCGTTCATCTTGAACATGTCAGTGCAGTCTGTCTCGAACACCACACGTAGGGCTTCATCGCAAATTATCTTTCTCTTGTTACTCGGATCTTGCAGGCTGTTCTTCCATATATATGCCCACAGTTGCTTGACAATCCGAATCAAAAGGAACATAAATGTCAGAATCGCATCACTCGAGCGCTGCTGACTGAAAGTAATCTATGTTAATCCAGGGAAACCGACCTCAGTCCTCGGCAAAGCTCGCTCACCAACTATGGCTTGAAGTTCTGGTGAAACACTACAAACTTTGTTCAGACCCCCTGATTCACATCTTCTTTTGGGTGCAACAAGGGCACTGCAATAGCATTTGAAAACACACAAATAACTGAGTCATCAGTAAAGCGATTAATCTTCATTGATATAACACTAAGGGAAAACATTCAAATTCACATCAAGAGGCATAGAATGTTACCAAGCTGACACTAAAACTCTTAAACTCGGCCAGGAAAACCCAAATTAAGTTGCATAAAATGTACGTAAAGGTTAACCTTGTGCCAAAAATCATATATTTGCAAAACCCTAAAATGAACATAATTTTTACACAACACCCTTTCTGAAAAATGTTAAAGCAAGGGAATAGTGCAAAATAGGAAGAAAGCGCTAAAAAAGGCGGCAAACCTTTCTTTGGGGACTTCAGTGGTGGCAAAGGGAGCGGCATTTTGAGTGGAAACATTGGCTTTCGTGACAACCGGCTGGGGCAGCAGCTGTTGATGTTGCTGGAGCTGCGGCGGTGGTTTAGCGGTGAGAGGAGAATGAGGGTGGCGGAAGTTGAGTTCATGGAAAGGGAGCTGACAGTGATGTTGGAGAGCAAAATGGGGAGGAAATTGTTGATGCGAAGGGAATTGAGGGTGGTGTTGGAGGTTGAAATGGTTTTTAGGAGGTGGCTGAGCCTGGGTTTGTGGGGGACAGAGCAAGAAGTTTATTTGGTCCCTAATGAAGGCGGCTTTATGGGAGAGGTCGGCACCTAGCTTGGCTTCCAGCTGCTGAACGAAGCCGTTTAAGGTGGTGGAGACGCTGGGGTCGGACTGCCGGGGCAGGTTCTCCACCCCTCTTGGCCATTGCTATCTCTTGGTCCGACACCATGCTTGCTTCCTTCATGTAATATCCCTTTTTAAGTAATACTGAACTGAACCAGCAAAAAAAACCCAAACAAACGTTTGCTTCTCTCTCCTCTTTGTCTCTATCCCTCTCTCTATCCAACTGTTCTGTCTTTCAATTCTTTATGTTCAGTAAAATGACGGAATGGTCCCTCTTGCTACACTTTTTAGTTTAAATTGATACCGGAATGAAACCCTTGCCCTTGATAGTACCCATAACCCACTTGAGAGTTTAAATTGAAGAATTTGGTTTATGATTCCTTTGTTTGGTGTTTATGGGTCTTAAGATGGAAAAATTATGTCGAAAAATGTCCTCTCGACTAAAAGGTTTTATAACCAAAACATTTTATATTAAATGTTTTGGTTAAAAAGACTTTTTAATCTCTAATTCATGGACTTCAGAGTAAGTTCTGACAAAGTGGAGGTTGAATTTGGACTCACGGTGTTCAGATAAAGTAACCCATGAAATTTGAGATCGAACGATCACCATCTACGATGGTTGATGACGACCGATGGTGATGTCTGACCACCTTCTGTTATTATTTTATATTAAATAATAATAATAAAAATATCACGTCATATGAGAATAATATTAAAAAAATTTAAAATGATCAAAATTTGAGCAATTAGAAACTTTACTGACTAAATTAGAAAAATTGAAAGTATGATGAGAAAAATAGAACAAAGAATATAGTTCAATGAGAAATAATGTAATTTACCCTTTTTAGAGAGTTGGGGAGAAAGGATAAACATGAAAAATTCAAAAGTTTTAAAGATTATTTTTCTTTTTTTGGAATTGAAATTAAACTGTATTGTCCATAGAGAGAAGAGACAGAACACGGTAAAACTGAATGGAATAGTAGAAAAAGTCAAATTATTTTATTATAAAACATAAGAATTTGTAAATACTTGAAGGAAAAAAACTAAGGGTTGTTTGATAAAATAAAATGATTAAGCGTTCAATAATTAAATTACATGAATGATTCAAATGTTATGTATGAATTAGCTCTGAATGTGACAAACTGTTTGGTAATGGTTCTGAATGTACAATCTGAATTATGAATATTTTTTTTTACCTTCATAATGATTTATTATATTATAAGATATGTTTGTCTAATAAGACAACATGTGAAAAATAGGTATTATGGTAAAATACCAGATGCTTAATGATTCAGAATGTACTTTAATGCTGAATCATTCAGCAGTGTTTTGTTGTTTCATTCAGCATAGTCTTCATTAAGAGGTGAGAATCAAACACGTTGAATGTTGAACGGTTCAGCATTCAATGCTGAATGGTTCCATTCAGCAGTAAACAAGCGGCCCCTAAGATTTAAACTCCATTTATTTAATATTTAAACTTATAAAATTTTAAATCATCCCATGATCCTATCGCATCCTATTTAATATTTAAATTTATACGTATTTATTTAATATTTATTATCATCCAATGAAAGAATATAAACAGGTACAATATTAAACAAGTAAAGATGAAAAAACGAATTCCATGATGACATAAAATTTTTCTCTGTGGCGGTTACTTTTTTTTAGGGTTTCACGTGTTGTTTGGGTTTCGTGGTGCGTCGGAGTTAAATTGACTCTTGGAAATGTTGATTGGAGTCTAGGGTGTGAGTGGGGATTGTTAGCTATGGCTGCAGAGGCTTATGTGGGAGCAGTCGAAGCTTGATTGGAGGCTTATGTTTGATTCCACGGGGGAGTAGCGCCTTGATTTTTTTCCTCCGGTGTGCTGCAATGGCTCTGTTACGGTATCACTTCCGGTTGAGGTTTTTACTGCGGGCACTCAAGTATGGCAAAATTCCCTTGTTCTCCGGTTTGTTGATCGGACTCCCAATTTTGGGGTTTTGCAATAATTGCTTGGTATTTCTGGTCACACGCTTGGCCTCATCAGTTTAAGTAACCCCCAATAAATCACATAGAAAAATCTCAGAACAACCAGGCACTAAAGTAGGCGCACCGATTGTACCTTTAAAAAAGCTCACAGCTTCAGCAGCAATTACCTAACCTCGTTGCTTTTTTTTAATGAATTTTTATGCTCCTAATCATCTACTTGTTATTTCGTTCAATCATTTGTTTGAAACGAGAATTCATAGTTAGGATAATCTAATAAACTCTTATACACACCCATATCAAAAGAAAATCAAAACATGTAAATCACATTACTAAAGAGATATACGAGTTTGATTAAAATGTAAAAACACTGTATTAGATTTAGGGATTGGCCGCCCAGACCTCGACCCAAATATATATATATATATATATATATATATATATATATATATATATATATATATATATATATGTAAAACCCGATCTCGTCTCGCCCTGATAAATTTTAAGGTTTTTCCGTTCCAAACTCATCTTGATTTTTAGATTAAAAACTCGACCCGACTCTATCCGAATAAAATAATATTTTAAAATAATTAAAATAATATATTTTATAATTATTTATTATATTTAAAATAATTAAATTAATATAATTAATATTTTTAATATTAAATAATATATTTTAATTATATAAAATAAAAAATCTTAAAGTAAAAATTAACTAGTTTGACATGTCAGTTTAAACTCGACCCTATCTGTGCCAAAGTTATATTCTATATAACTCGTCCTCTCCCGTCCCGAATCTCAAATTTTTTTAAAAAAATCGTTCTTATAGAGTCGGATCAAATCAAGACCATCAAATTCAGGTATTTTAACCCTCTCTAATTAGATTACGAGTCCACAAATTTATATTTTCTTCTTTCCTTAACCTCTATCAAATTATTTCACGGATAATCATCACGTGAGATCATATTCATTGTACCTAGACACCAACATTGGTTCATTGAACTTGGACATTCATTCCAAAGCAGATTAAACGACCCTTCAGTTTTTGAGCAAATCTCGGACCTTAAAAAATGGGTAAACTACATTAGTTGGTCAATAATGTTTGGGGTAGTTCTCGTTTTTTCCATTGATGTTTCAAAAGTTACAAATTGGTCACTAACGTTATCAATTTATTACAAACTGGTCACTTAACCTTAACGAACGTTAACGGACCTGACGAAAAACACACCTGACACGTTAAAATGCTGACACTAATGTTTGGGGTTCTTGAAGTCTATATAAAAAAATTACTCAAGTCCTTCGCTTCAACCGCCGTCCATGGCGACGACGTCACCATTCTTACCAGAGATTCAAAATGATGTGACGGTCGCATTTTCGATCATGTCTCGTTTACCATAATTGCGGTCATAGCGGGCGCTATTACGGGTATATCGGAAGGCACCTCTACCACTATTTCGTAGGCTCTATCAACGTCGCAGACCGCTATTTAAAACCTTTATTCTTATACTCAATCAACCCTAATCCTTTAACTCAAGCCTCCTCTCGCCTCCTAGACGACACCGTGTTCTACTCCATCTACCCAGACACCGCGTTCAACGCCATTTTCGAATCCCTAAAATTCCTAATAGAAAACGAACAAGCCGCTGCCGTACCGGATTCGATTCAATCTGCCTTACAAAGTCGGATCGCTGGGTATTCGGAGAAAATGAAACTTAACACGCATACAATGAGGGTTCGGGTTTCGGTAATGGTAGCTCAATTTGGGGACACCCTTCCATACCGTTACATGGAAGTAGCTCATTCATTCCCTCATCTCATCTGTATGAAATGCAGCTTGAATCTACGTGGAAAATGAATCAAAACAAATCAATGAGGACAAGCTTTTTTCTTTGTGAGAAAAATAGCAAATTTATTTACAGATAAACATATTTCATGACACGGTGATATACCTCGCGTTGTAGAGCTTCATCAAGCTCCTGTTGAAAAATGCATGGCTTCTAGATGGCTTTTGGTGACTATATGATTTCAAAGGTGGCTAAATGGGGGCAGCTAATTTTTCAAAGTTAGGCAGGCCATTATTTTTGAATTTAAGCAATGGGAAAATTATTTTTAGTCATTGGACTTTAGGGTATTTACAAAGATTGGTCCCTAAGTTTCAACTATAAATACCCTAGCTCATTTAGCTTCAAAATCATCCCAAAACATTTCTTTCTTCCTATACTAGAGAGCTTTCTTGTGAGTAGTGAGTGTTTTGTAAACACCTGTAAATTTTCTCTTTTAGTAAAAGATCTGCAGCAGTACGAAGACGTAAGCACAATTGACTGAACTCCGTTATCAATTTTCGGGTATTATTTTTCCGCTTTTATTTCGCATTCTCACTAATTTGGTTATAGGGAAATTACTTGTACTCGATTTATTTCCTAACAACTGGTATCAGAGCTTTTGGTTGTGAATTTTGTCAATTTTTTGCGAGGTTACTATTCACGTGAATAGTGAATTTTATGATTAGTAAAATTTTGTCGGCGATACGAATTTGTCGACAGAGGTGTTCTAATACACGGTGGTTCGCAAGAATTGTCAGAAACGATCCAAACGAAACCATATTCGAGTGGCAGCGATGGCTGCAGACGAAGAGAAGGTGAAAATTGAAAAGTTCGATGCGGACTTTGGCTTTTGGAAAATGCAGATTGAAGATTTTTTGTACCAGAAAAATCTATATCAACCTCTCTCAGGAAAGCAACCAGAGGGCATGAAGAATGAAGACTGGGCTCTTCTCGACAGACAAGCCCTCGGAGTTATCCGACTGACGTTATCCCGCAATGTTGCTTTCAACATAGCAAAGGAAAATACCACGGCGGGTCTTATGGCGACTCTCTTCAGTATGTATGAGAAACCATCGGCCTCAAACAAAGTTCATTTGATGAGGCGATTATTCAATTTGCGGATGACGGAAGGGGCATTGATGGCACAACACCTAAATGAACTCAACACAATCACAACTCAGTTGAGTTTAGTGGAAATTGAATTCGATGATGAAGTTCGAGCTTTAAGTCTCTTATCATCTCTACTAGACAGTTGGAATGCTACTGTTACAGCAGTTAGCAGCTCGTCGGGAAATAGTAAATTGAAATTCGACGATGTTCGGGATTTGGT